AGGTACATGCCTGTAAATTTTCAAGTCATTTGGCTAAGCCAAATAAGAATTAAAAATCGCCAAAAATGGTGGTGTCAAAACGTGCTCGCCCACGTATTTTTTCACGTTTTACTTTTTGTTTTCACTTTATTTCGGGGTCTAAACAATTTTATTATTTTTTGAAACTTTTTTAGTGGGTTTTGTATTATGTGAAGTACACATCTGTAAATTTTCAGGGCATTTAGCTATGCCAAAAAAAAATGAAAAATCGCCAAGAGATGGCGGTGTCGAAAACATGCTCGCGCACTCACTAAATTTAATTCTCTTTTTATTTTTATTTATTTTTATTATTAGTATTTATTTTCCGTATTTTATTTCTATTTCAAATTTGGTAAGGAATTCGGATGTAATGCTCAGGCAAATCTTGTTAAATTTATATTTCTCCATAACATATCTTTTTTCCAGATTTTTTTTATGATTTTTTTTTTTTTTTTTTTGGGTCCGCGTTCGGCCCGAACGACCGAACGCATCCCCAAGGGGTCCCATACGTTTGGGCGCTCGGGTTCGGGAGTTCGGCCCATCCCGAACACCAGTTACCCTGTATATATATATATTTATATGGAGAATGTGAGGACAAATATTAGTTGCTGTCAAACCACAGAGATTGGTGAGGTTCTCAGGCTGGTTTGTTGGATGCTGGCCAACAATTTGCAGATCACCCAGATGGTGTTGCAAGCCCAAACTGTGTTGGGTTGTTTGTTGGTCAGTCATTTGCAGATCACCCATGTGGTCTGCATGTGGCGGAGCACAAAATTGTGTTTCATCCGTACAATGCTGGTCAGCCATTTGCAGATCCCCCATGTGGTCTACGCCTTGTGGGGTCAACTGCGATTCGGGCAGATCATGTTCCAATCCCTTAACGTTTAGGGCTGCATCCTGAGTAGGGATTATACCTGGAGTCGGGAGTGTACTCTGGGCAGCGGCTGCATCCTGAGCAGGGACTGGTGGCTGCCTGCAGGCAGATGGACTGTCTGCATGAGTCATAGGAGTGGCAATAACAAAGCAACCGCAACAACCTGTGGAGGAGGCACAAAGAGAATCGGGGCAGACAAAGAAACAGGTTGCTGACACCCGGACAAGTGACGATGCCGCGGATGTCGTCGGTGATACACAACAAGGGGAGTAGTGGTGTTGCAAACAGAAGCTGAACTCGTACCTAGCAATGCAGGTGGAACAATGGGGACAATGGAAACCGGAGAGTCTGTTCGCAAGCGAGACGGTGGAGGAGATGGGGGTGGTGAGGAGGAACGCAGTCGTCTACGGCCAAGCACAAACAAAGATGAGAGGGGGGTGCATTAGACAAGATTTCGGAGCAAAGGATGTGACCGTCGGAGATATTGTGATGTTCTTTGCATTGGAGCTGCAGGACAGGATGCTGTAGCAGTAATAACAGTTAAGGGAAACTGAAAACTGCAGCAGTGGAAACCGCAACAGTAGAAATTGCAGCAGCGCAAACTGAGGCAGTGGAAACTGGAGCAATGGAGACTGCAGCAGTGGAAACCGCAACAGTGGACACTGCAGCAGTGGAAGCTGGAGCAATGGAAACTGCAGTAGTGGACACCAGAGTAGTGGAAACCGCAACAGTGGACACTGCAGCAGTGAAAACTGCAGGAGTGGAGACTCCAACAGTGGAAACTGCAGCAGTGGAAACTGCGGTAGCAGCAGATGAGTAAGCAGGGGCAGGACTAGAGCACTGTGGGGGCAAAGAAGAAATTGGATGATACAAGGACCATCGCAACATGCGTCGGAACCACTGAGAGAGACGTGTCACATGTGTAGGATAGCGACGTTGGCAGGAGCGCATATAGCAGGTCCACCCCTTAGCAAGGGTTGGTGGGGAATGCCCACGCGAAAGCATACGACGAGTAAGTGTTGTTGCTGCAGTTCGAAAGTCCTGCCAATTGTTACAGATTTGTTCAAATCTGGTCAATTGCCCAGTGAACACACCAGCCGGTTGATGGGAAGGAATGTTGGAGGTCACACTTGGATAACGAATGACAGGGAAATCCCAAGCAGCCGCTTTATCAAAGACGCTCATGCGAAGCGAGCCATCGGAACGGACCTGTAGCTGCATACCTAAAAAGGTACAAGAGCCATCTGTAGCTGTAGTCTCCTTCCACTCCAGCCGTAGTGTTCTGGTGGAGGAGGTAAATGTCCGCATGAAAGAACATCATCAATGAGGCGATTGGTGAAGGCATATTGTTGAGCAGCTTGAAGATCATGTAGAGGAATGTTATTAACAAAGCGTGCTTCATCCCAATACAGCGTTAGAATAGAAATTTTTGGGCCAGCATTCGTTCCCATTGGAATACCGATAATTTGTTTCCAAAGCGTGCCATCTCTTGTGTATAGAAAAGTGTTTTGTACAACAAAGCGAAGATGTTGGAGAATCTGAGAAACAGAAAGGGTATCCGGGCCTGAATCAGTTGTCCATTGGCCACAACTAGGTCCTTGAATAACCATGTTGAGGGCAAAGCAACGTGAATGCGTGCGAGCTTGCCGAAGGGCATAAGCATGAGCTTCATCAACAACTTTTGCCACATTATTCAAAATGCGGTCATGAGGAAGGTTGGTGTACATTGTGGTAAAATCAACAGTGCGAGGAGAGAGGCCACAAAGAGATGATGCATTGTTTTTCAGGTCAATCGCCACTTCACCGGCACTCTGAACGATCCAACATCATCGAACACCAACTGGTTGATAGAGCTCAGTGTCTTTCTCGCGAAGAGTGGAGATCACTCCTTGCAAAGCAACGCTGAGATACAACGAAGTAGTCGTTGTGCTAGCCAAGGGTTTGTGAGGAGGCCGTTCATGAATAGTACGAATTGTTGGACGAGGGCGAGCACGCGGGGGAACAGCACTATTATTTTGTGTTGTGACTCCAAGAATGTTGTGAAGAGCTGGAGGAGATTTGTGAGCTTTGAGTACATAGTAAAGGTAAGGTAGGGTATCAGTGTGGGTGTAACCCCAATTGTGATTCCACACTGCATGGTGGTCAAGGACATCAGCAACGAACTCTTGAGGACGAGTATAAGTGGGACTGTCCAAATGGGTAGAGAGATTAAACAAATACCAATTCTTACAGAAAATTGCCAAATTGTGTGATGTTTTGTCCACAGGGACAATGGCAAAGTGTTGTTGAAGATGGTGTAAGGAGGCATGTGTAGAACGTAGTGAACGTGGCTGGCTCACATGATTGGAGAACAAAGATGCATTGGATTGACAATGCGCAAGGATTGCAGAACGTCAGCTGTTCAACTTCGAGGAAAGAGACGAGAAAGAAGCAAATCGAGAATGTCCGGCCAACAACCTTTTGTAATTGGCAATGTACTCGTCTAGTCCCATTGCCAGTGCCTGGAGCACATCGGCAGTTTCCCCATTCAACCGATACTTCGAGCCTTCTTGAAAAAGTTTGCGAAGGCTACCATCGGAGATGATATTGTAGTCAACAGACACAATATGGCCATCCACAAGATCAGAACAATGTGGAAAGGCTTTGCGGCATTCGCAATCAGAAGAGTCGGGTAAGGTCATGCCAGGAGTAACACTCAAGGCCACATCAGTGAAGTTACAAAACTGGACACGCGTGGGTGACATCAGTTTGTCACATACACGAACATGTATGGCTGCTTGAGGATCGGGGTGCAATGCAACTACATCCGGCAATTGTAACACATGGAGCAAGTTTTTAGCACGAGCTACCTCATGCGCATGTACGACCTTGATGTGGTCAGTAAATGGGTCACGAGGTTGTGCTGTGTAACGCTGGCGGGTATGCTGCGGTTTTCGGATGAGGCATTCGAGTTCTCGAATGTCTGCTGTCATGTCCGCATTGGAAACATTGTTATAAAGCCATTGCAAAAGTCGTACCCGCCATGCTGGTGCTGCTTGCTCAATATTAGCCTTGACACGACACCAATTACCCGAACCAGCTTCAGTGAGAAGACGATGCAGTGAGGTACGAATCTAAGTTGGGGACCCGGACGAAGATCAACAGCAAAGGACCTAACCAAAGGTGTTGGCAATAGAGGTAAACAGTGAGGGGGTGTTGGCAAGAGAGGCAAACAGTGAGCGGGTGTAGATAAAAGGGGTGCAGCATAACAGCCAACGGGTGTTGGTAAAAGGGGGGCTATGTGAGAAGGATCAGCCGGTACAGGAACATATGGAGCAGCAATAGATGTGGTAGGGAGGGAAACAGGAGGAGTTGAGGCATGAGGAGGTAGAGGGGGTTGAGGAGCAAAGGGACGAGGGCCCATTTGTGTCCAACTATGAGGGCGGAAGTGCCGTCGTGGAGTCGGCAGTCTAGCCATTGGAAGGACTGCATTAAAACCAACTGGGTGAAGAGTTCGAAGTTTACGAACCCAGAAACCCTTGCGGGGTGCAACAGCCCGCCGAAAGAGGGCATGATCAACAAGACCTTCAGAAGTATAATAAAGGGTAGGATCAATGCATGCCAAGGGCCAAGCAGCAAAGTTGAATGCTGGTTGCCCACACATTGCACGGTAGAGATGGCGGTGGCGAAAAGCAGCAGAAGAGCGTCGTGTATGCCAATGCTCTTGCAGCCGTTGATGTGCAGAATGCATCGTTTGTCGAACATAAAAATGTCCTGAAGGCAAATGAACAATTGCATAAATCACTCTTCGAACAGTGAGGGGGTCCATACCTGGTTCAAGGGGTTATTGATGAACACTTCACAGTTGCAACTCAAATCGCTCTGCCTGCACAACACTGTTAAGAAGACAGAGTTGTTTCTTGCCCCAACCTCCTGCAGAATACAAGTTAGTATTCCACTCCAGGTTTGCACGCCAATCTACACGACGAGAAACGGATGCCTGGCAGTTTGACATGTGAACATGAGCAAACGGAACATAGTGTCCAAGAGGAAAGCTTGGTATAGCACCTGCCATGCCAGCGGCAGGAAATCTCCCGAGAGGGGTGGGAAGTATCGGGGTAGCCCCTTGATTATTCCTTAGTTGTAGATATTTTTCGATTTTTCAATTTTCCAATGCAAAGAAATGGAGGTGAGTGCACAAGGTGAAACAACTTTAGGTCCGACGGCTCAGGCCGGGATTGTCAAAGAGGGTGCTCGGTTTGAATGAGAAACAGCATCTCCCAACGAGTGTGCTCACAGCAGCAATGCCAAGAGCCTTGCACCGACAGACCAACAATGCCTACATAAAAAGATGTCACCAAGCAGTTGACACATGCATAAACCAGCGTAGAAGGATTATCTCAAAGAACATGGAACAAGAGGTGAGTGGGCATGGGGGCAGCCACCCGGGTGTGGCCAACCTTAGGCGGGTCGTAACTATACCCACTGCACGGGAAAGGGGTACAACTCGTGCCCTTGCGGTGACCGCCATCACAATCACATCGTGCACGAAAGGAAAAAGAGTATATAACAGATGTACACAACGAATAGACAAAACAGATTGTACACAAGGAATGTACATGTAAGGGATGTACAACAGGAATGTACATAGTTACAATACCAAGCTTACCTGAAAGGTCAAAGAGCCAAGCAAAACATCCGTAACAACATCTGTCATAAAAAAAAGTGAAGTAGTTGAGTTTATCATGAAACCAGCAAATTGGGCATACAACTCCTGTAAAGCACGCGGGAGGTTCGTCAACAGAGGCAACAAAGAAAAAATGCAAAGAAAAAGGAACAAGAAAAGAAGATTGATGTAGGAGGTAAGAAAGAGAGACAATTATCTTCCACAAGAAAAAGGCGGTGCCTGGTTGTATAGGCCCAACGCTCGCCGCTCAATCTGCAAAAGCAGAGGGCTAGCAACGCCGGAGAATGTATTGTCATATAACTATGAACTAAAATAGCGCAATTTGCAAAAAATAAATAAATAAATAAATAAAAAATCCATGAACGGCACAGTGAAACCATTCATTTTACTCATTCTTCTTTTGACTCCCCTTTCACCGTGCCTCTCACGTACAAGGCTCGCCACGTTGATGAAGTTGAGCGCGAGCTGCCCCCATCCCCGTGTGCCATAACAACCCACTTGTACGCTGTGAGAAAGAGGTAGAGTGAAGGGGGAGGGGATAAACACAAGGAGGAGAGATGGAGAGCAGACAAACAAAGAACGATAAAGGGAAAGTAAGGGAAAGTATGGAGTGTGGAGTGAAGATGAAGGCAAAAGAGGATAAGAAAAGGCTCAAGAATGAGTCTGTCCTTGACGACAGAGAGGACATACATTGTAAGGATGGCGTGGATGAACACATGGAAGACCTAGCTGAGCATTCTCAGTGCAACAATTGCCACGACGGGTGGCATTGAGCATGCCCGCACCAGCATGGCAGGTACGACTTTTGCAATGGCTTTACAATAATGTCTCCAATGTAGACATGACGGCACACATTCGAGAACTCGAATGCGTCATCTGAAAATCGCAGCATACCCGCCAACGTTACAAAGCACAACCTCGTGACACGTTTACTGACCACAGCGCAAGAAACAACTCTGTCTTCTTAACAGTGTTGTGCAGGTAGAGCGATTTGAGTTGCAACTGCGAGGTGTTCATCAACAACCCATTGAACCAGGTATGGACCCCCTCACTGTTCGAGGAGTGATTATGCAATTGTTCATTTGCCTTCAGGATATTTTTATGTTGGACAAACGATGCATTCTGCACATCAACGGTTGCAAGAGCATTG